ATAATTGTGTCGGCGCTGACGATATCGGCGATATCGCGGTAATTTATCGTACGATAGGGCTTATCGTACGATACGTATCGCGCCTATCGTTGCCCAGTCTGGCCTCACAACGGTGTGGGTGTGCCGTTGCTTCGATTGGCAACGCCGAGCATTTCCCCGCCGCTTGTCCTGGGTCCATGTTACTCGACCTCGACCTTCTTATTGCCTGTACGGCGCGCCTGAACGACTACCTGGTACAAGCTGTCGTTGATCACCGAGATAATGGCAGACTCTGCTCTCACCATCGAAAGTGCGATAGCTGAAGACGTGACTTTGCTTACCAGCGTGTTCATGGACGGTTTTGCTAACGACGTACATACGCAAATGAAGACGATGGGCCAGAAAAATGAGAGATTTGCGAATGGGATGAGAGAAGCAATAAGCTCCTGGATACAGGACCATTCGCGATATTCAGTTCTCAAAGCCACAGACGTTGCTACAAAGCAGATTTTGGGTTGGATTTGTTGGGCTTCTCGCGAGTATGAAGATGACGCTGAACGATCTCGGAGGAAGGAGTCCAGCGAGAAACATGCCGCAGCGCTAATACGTGAGGCACAGACTTCGAGACAAGATCAGCTAGACAATGTAGCGAAGCTGATCCGACCGCCAAAACATAATTTGCAGTCGGGAGAACCTTTAGACCCAATCAACCAACTTGAGTCACTCACAAGTGAGCATCTGCAGCAATGGATGATAAAGGTGATGCCGCCAGGTACTATGTGTATGTATGTTGTCGCACTCGTTGTGCATCCATCATATCAGTCCCGTGGGGCAGGATCTGCGCTCATCGGATGGGGAACAGCAAGAGCCGACGCTGACGCGGTATTTTGCTGGGTGAAATCATCTGAATCGGGTCACAGAGCATTTGCTAAAAATGGCTTCAAGGTTGCGGAGAGTTTGCAAGTAGATCTAGATGAGTTTTCACCGGGGCCATGTCCAGTTTATGCAGATCGAAAATGGGGCCAGTCCATATTTAGATACATGATCCGGCCTCCTCATAACTGAGGTGAAACGATTTTGAAAGTCACACTATTATTGCCGCAAGGCTACCTCAGATTTCTCTATAGAAGAGTGCATCCATGAAATTCTGTATTGTCACTTGCCCTTTCCAGTTGAGTCGACCAGTCTTTAAGTGAGAAATTTGCACAAGCCGTCTATAGACTTCGCAGTGCTAGATAATTTCCAGACGTCAACAAATTCGGACAGCTTCGGGCAACTACTTTGCACGGTTTCTCTTTACTTTCGCGACAAACACCCCGTATCAAAATCTGACCGAGCGAGAACCAATTTCCGCACATCGCAAATCCACACCCAGAATCCCCAGCGCAACGATCATCCCTGTAATAATCTCTCAGTATTGGGAAATTATCTACAATCTACGCATGGCGAACGTATTCATCAAATGTCTACTTTAAAGTTTTCAGATACAAAGAAAAAACCAGATTGAACAAAATAGGAATTGTCTCTTCTTGTAGCATGAGAGGTTTTAGACAAGAGCGATGTTGTGTGAGTGTGTGCAGCCTTCCTTAGCTTGAGCTTTCTCTTGCATTCTAGCTACACACAATGATATTTCTAGAGCTATCTTATGTTTAGAAAGCACGAAGATAAAACCCGAAAGATACAATGCGATTAAAAAAAATTTATACTTTAAAAAAATGGACTCGGAGGGAGTCGAACCCTCGACCTCTCCCATGCTAAGGGAAAATCATACCTACATCACTATATATTAGCCACTGCACGTAGTCAAACATGTAATCCTTTGATTGCTTACCGTTAGACCACGAGCCCATTATTAGGAAAATAATCTGTTAGCACATAATATATATTACAGTAGATATCGAACCTATCGAAGCGAGAACAGGTCGTCCCAAAGAGCGAATCGCAATGTCGATTCTCTAGAATAATAATTACATACTCCCATGACGACCGCGCAAATATGAGACAACCCGTTCGAGTGCCCAGCCGATAAATCTATACTGTCTTGGCTGATACTCGATCCGTCGTTGGCTGACCAGATTGCGATTCTCTGCACTCATATACTGTCGAAGAAGGTAGTTAACTTGGTAAGGGGCGTAAATGTTGATGTTGTGCCGGGGGGTTGGCGAAAGTGGCCGTTACCGCTGAAGCGTGAACACGTGAGTGGAGAGAGAAAACAGGACCCAGAACAGATCGATTGGTGGTGAAGCTAGAAAGCTAAGCTCGGGAGCTAGAAGCAAGAGATAGAGGGCTAGAAGCTAGTGGCGCTAGTGACGCTCAGGCCACAAACCCACACCGCGCATCGTCCCCGCATGGCCGGACCGCACGGCCTGTGCCTCCATCTGACTTACACCCCACAAGCATACCCTAGCGCAGCATCTGGCGGCTAGGCATTGTACCTACATTCCGTGGCATCATCGCCATCATCGAGAGGAAGGGAACAGTCGGGCAAGAGATACAAGAGACATGCTGTTGGAGCATGCAACGCCTGTAGGCGACAAGTGTGGAAAATTGTGCGCTCGCGTAGTCACTAGTGCTTCTTCTCGAACGCCATGAAGAGCAAGACCATGCCGGAAACGTTGCCGCCAGAATAGGTCGGTGGAGGGAAGGTCCTCCAGTGGGCATCGCACTGTCAAAGGACAGATTGTAGCCTTGCCGAAAGCCGACTAAATCCCCATCTCCTTCACTGGAAAAGGGTAAGCTGTCCACCGTCGATGCAAAGGTTCTTCGATATCTCTCGACGAGGCTACAGCTTCCCAGTACTGCAGCTGCTTGATGCTGTCAGGGATCAACAGCGACATGAAATCAACCAAGCGGTACGCGCTTTCCTTGAATAGGAAAAAGGTGAGTTGTGGATGAGAAGGATGGATGATATTTCGAAGATTGCAGTGAGGGTTTCGTTGGGATATTCTATCAGACAAAAGGGGTTGGACGGAAGGTCTGGGGGTCCCGGATGGTCGCCAAAGTTACCTACTCAAAGCCGCGAGAATGTCAGGGAATGATGATTGCATGTAACTCCGGATCCAGATACCCGGTTCGAGCTCTCCATCTCCCATGTTACACAGCAGAAACCTCGTTTACCCCTGTTACGGACTTTGTCCCACACCGGCAGAACGACTTGTTGCCACGTCAATAAGATATTTGGCATGGGCGTCTGTGGGTTATTGTCAGAGCAAGCTATGCAGCCACCCTCCGGGGCCCTCGGCTCTCGGTCAATCTTCCGAATCATTGCATGCCATTGACCAACTTGATGATACTGTTTGGACTGGAGTGGTGGCTTCACAGGCCTAGCAAACTGGACTGGCTGAAAGGGCAAATACGTAACCCCTCGCAGTTCGACTTGATGGACTATCCTGTATCCATTTACTAACATCTCGACAGAGCACCATTTGGATGTGCCTTGATCCGTGTGTTGAGCTGGTTTAGAAGACCAAATTCAACGCACAGAGCCCAATGACCGTAATACAAGCGCTGCCTAGAAGTAAAGGCAGAGATGGCGAAGCTCCGGGGTAACTCAAGTATGTATTGATTAACCTATCAAAAGAGCCCGAATGTTAAGTTATTGGACTATTCATTCTTCATAAGCTTTACTCAATCATCATCCAACCCAAAGGAATAATTTTCTCCTGAAAGCGCCCATCCATCCAACCTGAATTAAGTCTGAAGACTGAACAAGATAACTGCTAGTACAGAAGCGCCGACCCTTCTGTGTATTTCATAGAGACTGAGAGTAGAGAAACTTGTAAATAGAGGCAGTATGTGTAGTGCGACGTATAGCAGTTTAGATTTGCGAAACCCAATCATGATTGCAAGCACTACCACGCTCATTGCGATGGTAAACACGGCTGCACCCCTGGCTGAGTAGTCTAGGATGGCGGCATAGACTAGCCATGACCCGAGCCACAGTCGAAACCTTGATACATTTCCCCGGTTCCGTTGCGCTGTAGAGTGCCATCGGGAAAAGCCGCTGGATTGAAATCGCTGACTGGATCTTGGCCGAACCTCACATTGTCATACATCGACGCCGACATATCAGCGTTACTAGATGTATAGTCAATGATAGAACCGGTATCAAGTTCGTAAGTCATTGGCATCAGCGAACTTAGCAAGCTTGGGTCAGTCAAGGGATACTGTGACATGCTCTCGATTTGTCTCAGAGCTTCCCAGTCAGCCAAAATCTCATCGAAGTTTTGGTTTGAGGCCTTTGAATTCACGTCAACTTGAGAACGGCCATGTAAATTCTGCAGTGGGAGACTTGCATTGCTCGCTAGCACTGTAGGATCGGTTCCATGAGTGGCACCACCTTGTGCATCTCTCTCTCTCTTGCGCTGTTTCTTGAACCAATTGTTAACTTGATCTTCATTTTGAAGACCAGCTTCTACCCGGATGGTCTCCCGTCTATGTTTGTCTAGCTTTGGGCTCTCCCTGTAGCGAGATTCGAGTATTCGCCTCGTTGGGGAGGGAAACCGTCCTTGGGAACGCTGCTGCTCATTGAGGTCTCTGTTTGTATTTGAATTGCAGAGATCATGCACCGCGGACGTGGATGGCAATGAGCCAGACGTATCCACAGGGGGAAAAGTATTCGCCTTTGCACCCCAGAAAGTTAGTCCCAGTATAAACCATAGACCTCGGCGGGGGAAATTACCTGCAGTCCGTCACGGTGCGATGAATCGATTGGGAGTCGGTCGGCCTCTAAGGGAGGATGGGGGGCCAAGTCCATGCAGCCTCGACCAGGGAAAGCACGCGACATAGCTGAAGAAGTAGATGGTGGAATGTGAAGAACGTTAGCCAATACCGTTCGTGGAGATGACTTGGCCTTTCCACAGGATAATGACACTGGACTAAGAGAGGTTTGGATTGGAAGGGGGCTTTTATCTTATGGGACGAATGGTATCAGAGGGAGGCACCGGAGTGACATAGAGATCCTTACCACAAGATTGAACAAGTAACCGAGATCACAAAGCTCAACAATACATCGTGTGCTTCCAAGATTGAGGAACCTCGCCGCCCCAAGAACCGGGCCATCTCAAGAACCCGGAGTCAAGAAGAACTAAGTGCGTTAAGAAAAGCATAGTCCTGGTTCATCAGTCAACCCCTAAGGGCTTGATTTGGTAAGGCGGACCATCAGGAGCAAGGTCAAGTCGGAGGCCAGCGGCACTTCCACTCTTTTAGTCCGTTGCGACTGTTTAACGATCTGTGGATGGAACCGTGCCCAATGTCAGCACATCCTTCCACACCACCCTCCCAAGCAGTGCTTCGAATTTCGAACCAGGATAGGATGAACTAGAAACTAAAGTTCTGTGACGAGGCACGGGATTGCACTCACAAAGCTTCTATCGATGAAACGGCTTCCGGGCGCTCCACTGGCATTTGTGTTAAATGGATTTTGGTTCTTAGAGCTGCATAAAATTGCGCTGCTCATTCATCTCCGTAGTAGCCATACAGACTTTGCCAGACCGGTAATTGCCGACTCTCTGCGTCCTATACATAAAATGAAATTAGCAAGAAAATGTGTTTGTAGATATATCTGCTTTTATAGTTTTAAGCTGGTTGTATCCAAAGGGAAGGTCTTGAAGTTGCCGGGTAAAGGCAAAGTGCGGGATGATTATCGTGGGACCTATATTGGTCGGTGAACCAGTCCACTGGCAGGCTATTTTAGCTTCGTGATACAGAGCTAATGCAGAAGTAAGGGTAAAGAAAAAAAGAAAAACAAAAGGGGGCGCCACTTGAGATTCTGCAATGCTCGTACATTAAGCCTCAGGTACAGGCAAGAAACTTCCTCCTGTAGAATAGAATGACAGGCTATCACAGATATCAGACCTCCGGAGCTCGAGATGTACCTGTATTACCCGAAACTTTATCCACTAAATGTGCTTGCTCCATGGCCTTCGAAAGGTTCTAGAAAAGGTTGTGAGCAAGGTTCGAGGACGGCTTCATGATGTAATTCGACGCTTGGCTGCCCATGATCGCTGTCAATGGTGAGCGGCTCAGGGCCAATAGAATAGAAGGATCTAAAGAATCGAGCCTGGCACTGAAACTGCAGAATCGAAGGAGCGTAATGTTGTGAACTCATCTGTCACACCATAGCGAGACCGAGAACATGAGTGCCCGGACGAGCAACGACATACACGTGAACCGTGCTATGGAGCAGATGGGAGGTCAGCAATCAGCGCGCTTGGTTCATTTATGTTGGGGTAGGTTCATGTACAGCTTACCGACTATTAGCTCTCCTGTAATGTCATGGAGACCGGGCCGATTACAGATGAGTGCTGATCCCAGCAGAAAGGAGTGTGTGAGGTTTCTAGCCTCGGGAGGAAAGGCGACCGATTTGCAAAAACGCCTGGCGAATCTTGCAAGGTGGAAGGTGTCAGGTTCCTGCAGATTTCGACTCATACGAGGCTCCATCAGACCTGTTACCAGATAGTTCCTAGCTGCGGCTTGGATTTGATGGCCTCCGTTCACATGACGCCACGGCGCTTACAGCCTGAGAGCATGGCGTATTTCCCGCATCAGAACTGCGCAGATAGGTGCCGTCCCCTTCTTCCACAGTCGTTCTGGAAGGAAGTTTAATGTCGATTGGCTTTTTACCTTCTCAACCAACCTTCAACTTGATGCTTCAAATGACGTTTCTCGTTGGATTTAGACATCGACACGGAGGATATGGGAGGGTCAGTGAGGTGTCCAGCAACAGGCATACATGGCAATAGCCTCCGGGAGAATGGGAAGCCTACATGGATACACTGCATAATCCTCCTGAACTCCGCATGACATCGGTCTTCTGTCAAGACTCACCGACTGAAGTCCGCCGAGCC